TGAAGCTCGAACCGTTTTGACGTGAACTAGCTGTCCAGGAACCTTGTCCTACAGGGTTCATGTTTGTGTTGGAAACTCTGTGCACTTTAAATTTCCCACAAAGCTTATAAGCTTTGAACAGGTTCCTCTCTTTTGCCAAGTGCACTTCCGGGTCGACAGATCCAAATGCCACTCGTGCCACCTGGGCATGTCCAGTGGACGCCAGCGCTGCCTTGTAAAAACCTTGCGTTCATTTTGGGCTTTTCAAAACAGACACAGACACATGTGATGTAAAACGTAACCTGATGCCGCAATATACACACATGTCGTATGTCACGTAATTAGTGAGTGGATTTGGTAATTTTTTTGGTGCCTACAAAAATGCTAGAAATATACATACGGTAATCCCGGCCAAAACGCGGGCAGTCAAATGTTGCAGCTCAACGCCAAATGGCCCACATTGTTCGTCAACCCGTGCCAAAATACGGTCAATCAAATTCTGTGATTTTTGGTTTTTTGGTCGCGGAGGCAAAAAGCCAAAAAACAGACGATGGCCAAAAAAACGTCGACCGCGCCGAAAAAGCGTCGACCAAGCCGAAAAACGATCGACTGTGACTGACGCAGTCGTTTGAGGGTCAGGGATAACTACATGATTGTTGTCCTCATCCTCTGTGATGTCCCGCTTCACAAGGGATTCAGCAGCTTGATCGAGGTGTCCAAGGTCACCTGGATCTTCTTCCTGGAGGTGTCAAGTTAAGGAATGCGTGCGTCCAACGCGTCCCCACGGGCAACGCGTCCCGTGATGTGTCCTGACCAAGCCAACCACACAGGTTTCGACCTTCTTGATGGCCTCTCCTAGATCCATCTGACCTGATCATCGACTTAATGAATAGAACACCGACTTAATGAGTCAATGACGAACCCAATGATAGCCACAAATGATATGTAGCGCGGGACCACGGCGGTGACTGACAATGACACGGCTGCGGTGACAATGACAAGGACGGCTGCGTTGACAATTTAATGACAATGGCTGAGCAGTGTGGCAGTGACGGTGACAATTCTTCAAAGCTTCTAATCATTTATATTTAAATTTCTGGGGTTTAACTTTTGAAGAAAATGATCACTATCAATATTATTAAGTGACTTTTCAAGACTTGGGTTTAACACTTCCTGTAAAACACGAAGGGGTTTAACCAAAGACCAGTGAAATTCCCATATGCGTTAAAAGTAAACGCCATGAGTTTTAAACGCGTTAGCTTCCCGTGAAAATTTGGCACGGCTCATTGACCTCATGTCCGGACTTTTCCAGACTGAACTGAAAATCTTGGGGTGGCTGAAGATCAGCCACAAGTTGAGTTGAAAAGCTGGGAGGACTCAGGTTGAGTTGAAAAAGTCGGGGTCAGCCTAAGAAGACTCAACCGCAGGCTGAGTTGAAAAGCTGGCAGGTTGAGAAGCTGGGGGGTCAATGTCACTGATCAATCACAGGTTGAGTTGAAAAGCTGGCGCGGCCTCAAGTTGACCTCAAGTTGAGAAGCTGGGGGGCTGTCAAGATCAACCGCAGGTTTACCTTAACAGCCGCCCAGAGAATCTCCGCTGTGATCTTTTGTAATTTGGATGGCTTTGGCGCCTTGTGCAGACTCAAGCCTGGCGGCGGTGTCACAGAGGCCATCCGAGGTTTTTGCCATCGAGGTCTGGAAACCGGGATCTTCACCGCGTACCCTTGAGTGGGCTTGCGCCAAGCATCCACATTTCCTACATGTGAAGCCATCCTGTACGCGGTCTTCCCAAATCCAATTGGCGCAACCATCATGCCGGCAAACCTGATACGTTCTGCCCCAGGACATGTTCCCTGCGCCCACCTCAAACCGGCCTGCGACAATCAGTAAGAGGAAAGAAGCACAGGGGAAGTCAGCAAGTAGAGGTAGAGGGCCTCCAGGAAGGACCCGCTCGGAGTAGAGGCCCAGTGCCGTTGTCAAAGTCGAGCCACCGCCGGCTTGAGCTTAAACGGTTTGAGCCACTTGAGCCATGCGTGTATGTATGTATGTATGTATGTTTTTGGTCGACTAAAGTCTTGTTCCTCGAAGCGGTGCGAATTCAGAAATCCTTGCGCGCCGCTTTATGTTTTCTATAAAACTTGCACTAACGGTGACACTTGTTTTATGGTATGGCTTTGCTCGTTTCACAGCAAAATACACTAGCGCATACTTTTGTACCTAAGCTGACTAGAGCTGCTGTCGCCACTGCTAGATGAGCTGCTCTCTGTACTGCTGCTTTGCTGCATTTGCTCGAGCTGTTTGCTCTGCCGACTCGTGTGGGCTTTGGCGTTTGTCAAGCAAGTGCCTCATACTTTGCGTAGTAGGAGCGTTGCGCGCATTTTGCTCTCACACTATTGGGTCTGTCATTTGGGCCGCGCACTACTGGGCACACATTTCAGCCATTGCTGCTAGCGCGGAGCCAGCGCGAGCCTAGCGCGAAAAGTCTCGAACATTTACCGGGTTTAGCCCTGGCAAAAACAAGGTGCGAAAACAAGCTCACTAGGAATAGCGCAACACGCCAGCCATTTGAGGTTGTGACCCCCTATGAAATTGCACATCATAGATTAAACATGTGGTCCAAGCAAATGGCTTCTAGCAATCAAAAGCAGATTCAAAGAAGCACTGATGCTCTTGCGCGCCGCTTCACAATTTGCTTTTAAAATCTATCGTCGCAAAACAAGTGTTGCCACTTTGTATAAACTCGTTAGCACTGCCTGTTCCGTAAGGGGCTCTGGCTTCGTGATTCGCTCAACGAGTTCACGAACCGGTGTCGGCAATTGGGAAAGGTTCTCTTTGAGGACGTCCTTGAGGTCTGGTTCAGCAGTCTTGCCAACTTCGGTGAGCTTCTTCGTCAAGGAATCATCCAAAGAATCTCAAGCTGGGGCAAGAATCTCCGCTGTCGTCTTTTGCAAGTTGGATGGCTTTGGCGCCTTGTGCGGACTCAAGCCTGGTGGCGGTGTCACAGAGGCCATCCGAGGTTTTTGCCATCGTTTATAAGGTCTGGAAACCGGGATCTTCACCGCATACCCTTGAGCGGGCTTGCGCCAAGCATGACCACATTTCCTACATGTGAAGCCATCCTGTATGCGGTCTTCCCAAATCCAATTGGCGCAACCATCACGCCGGCAAACCTGATACGCTCTGCCCCAGGACATGTTCCCTGCGCCCACCTCAAACCGGCCTGTGACAATCAGCAAGAGGAAAGAAGCACAGGCGAAGTCAGCAAGTAGAGGTAGAGGGCCGCACAGGAGCCAAGCAAGATTGCCAGGCGCCGTGGATGTACACAAGGACCCGCTCAGAGTAGAGGTCCAGCGCCGTTGTCAAAGTTGAGCCACCGCCGGCTTGAGCTTAAACGGTTTGAGCCACTTGAGCCATGCGTGTATGTATGTATGTATGCGTATACGCATACATAGCGTGCGTGTGTAAGGCTTACGCCATACTTTAATGCAGAGTCTGGGCTCCATGGTCCAAAATCGATGTCCGGCGCAAGGAATCTGAACCCCAAGTCTCCAGAACCCAAACCCCGGGCAAGACTTGCAAAGACCCAACGCAAATTTTGCACAAACATATTGCGAGTTTTTCTTATTTCCTGCACTTGCGCGCCTCAAATTTGCCTCACTTGCGTGCCACAGAATTTGTGTGACTTGCGCAACACAAGGGTCAGGTGCGTTCTGTCGCAAACTGATCGGTGGTTGGGCGACGAGTGGGGCTAATAATGCGGCTAGTAGCGCGTGCGGTTGATTGGGCCCACAAATCAGGTGTATTCCAGAGCATGTCAGAAGCAACATAATCATATTGACGTCAAACTACTTCACAGTCAACCACGTACCTCCAAATCTCTTTTCCGGCCACAACTATATAAACGCGCGGCATTCAACCGCATTGTGAAGGTCTACACACCCTCACTGCAAAATTTCTCTCTGAACAGCTCCGCCAACATTTGCTCGCGCGTTCACCACAACAAGCGCACGCGCGTGCGCTGCAAACACAAGCAAGCTGCCTGAAGCTGGATTTCGCGCTGCCAGGCGAGGTTTCAACGCACCCCACAACACTGCCGCGAAGTCCTGAAAGAGCGACGCGCAGTGTCTTTGCGCGGCTGCAACATTTGTGGCTTTGTTTGAGCCTTGTTTCGTGTGGCAGAACCGATGCCGGAGAGGAATTTAGCCACGTCTCGTGGAGAATAATTCTTCGCTTCGGTCCTCAGCCGCGCCCAACAGAATTGAATCGAACCGCTTGTATAATCACAGACTGTCCTGAAGTGCCCTACAGCGGCTGTCAGCAGGCCTCCGCTCGGACAGCAATGACATTGCAGTGTTCCATCAATATGTTCGTTTACAAGTAGTTCCCGGGCAAGCCGGCGGCGGAAGTTTCCAAAAGAATAAACCTGACAGGCTGATTCGCCGAGCTGCGATGTTCTTTGACAAAACAAGTTGGAACCGACCAATGAAGCGAAAGCGAAGCAACCACCGTCAACTGTCTCGCGTTTTGCAAAATGCAGACTAGAGATGACTCAGCCGCGCACTAAAGTTGTACTACAAAGTCGCCAGTTCTCAGCTTCCAGCTCCACGGCTTGCTCCGCGTACTAGAGTTGTGCTACAAAGTCGCCAGTTCTCAGCTTCCAGCTCCACAGATTGCTCCGCCTACTAAAGTTTTACTAGAAAGTCGCTAGTTCTCTTCTTCCAGCTCCACAGATTGCCGCGTCCTAAAGTTGCACTACGAAGTCGCCAGTTCTCATCTTCCAGCTCCCCAGATACTCCGCGAACTAAAGTTGTACTACAAAGTCGCCAGTTCTCATCTTCCAGCTCGCCAGATACTCCGCGTACTAAAGTTGTACCACAAAGTCGCCAGTTCTCATCTTCCAGCTCCCCAGATGCTCCGCGTCCTAGAGTTGCACTACAAAGTCGCCAGTTCTCATCTTCCAGCTCCCCAGATACTCCGCGTACTACAGTTGCACTGCCAAGTCACCAGTTCTCATCTTCCACCTCGCCAGATACTCCGCGTACTAAAGTTGTACTACCAAGTTCTCATCTTCCAGCTCCCCAGCTACTCCGCGCACTAAAGTTGTACTACAAAGTCGCCAGTTCTCAGCTTCCAGCTCCACAGCTACTCCGCGTACTAAAGTTGTACTACAAAGTCACCAGTTCTCATCTTCCACCTCGCCAGATACTCCGCGTACTAAAGTTGTACTACCATGTCACCAGTTCTCATCTTCCAGCTCCCCAGCTGCTCCGCGTACTAAAGTTGTACTACAAACTCGCCAGTTCTCAGCTTCCAGCTCCCCAGCTACTCCGCGTACTACAATTGTACTACAAAGTCGCCAGTTCTCATCTCCCAGCTCCCCAACTAGTCCGCGTACTAAAGTAGTACTACAAAGTCACCAGGTCTCATCTTCCACCTCGCCAGATACTCCGCGTACTAAAGTTGTACTACCAAGTCCCCAGTTCTCATCTTCCAGCTCCCCAGCTACTCCGCGTACTAAAGTTGTACTACAAAGTCGCCAGTTCTCAGCTTCCAGCTCCACAGATTGCTCCGCGTACTAAAGTTGTACTACAAAGTCGCCAGTTCTCATCTTCCAGCTCCCCAGATACTCCGCGTACTAAAGTTGTACTACAAAGTCGCCAGCTCCGCCTACTAAAGTTGTACAAGAAAGTCGCCAGTTCTCATCTTCCAGCTCCCCAGATACTCCGCGTACTAAAAAAGTACTACAAAGTCGCCAATTCTCAGCTTCCAGCTCCACGGCTTGCTCCGCGTACTAGAGTTGTACTACAAAGTCGCCAATTCTCAGCTTCCAGCTCCACGGCTTGCTCCGCGTACTAGAGTTGTACTACAAAGTCGCCAGTTCTCATCTTCCAGCTCCCCAGCTGCTCCGCGTACTAAAGTTGTACTACAAACTCGCCAGTTCTCAGCTTCCAACTCCACAGATTGCTCCGCCTACTAAAGTTTTACTAGAAAGTCGCTAGTTCTCTTCTTCCAGCTCCACAGATTGCTCCGCGTACTAAAGTTGCACTACAAAGTCGCCAGTTCTCATCTTCCAGCTCCCCAGATACTCCGCGCACTAAAGTTGTACTACAAAGTCGCCAGTTCTCATCTTCCTGCTCGCCAGATACTCCACGTACTAAAGTTGTACTACAAAGTCGCCAGTTCTCATCTTCCAGCTCCCCAGATGCTCCGCGTCCTAAAGTTGCACTACAAAGTCGCCAGTTCTCATCTTCCAGCTCCCCAGATACTCCGCGTACTACAGTTGCACTACAAAGTCGCCAGTTCTCAGCTTCTAGCTCCACAGATTGCTCCGCGTACTAAAGTTGTACTAGAAAGTCGCCAGTTCTCATTGTACTACAAAGTCGCCAGTTCTCAGCTTCCAGCTCCCCAGACAGTTCTCATCTTCCAGCTCCCCAGATACTCCGCGTACTAAAGTTGCACTACAAAGTCGCCAGTTCTCAGCTTCCAGCTCCACAGATTGCTCCGCGTACTGAAGTTGCACTACAAAGTCGCCAGTTCACATCTTCCAGCTCCCCAGATACTCCGCGTACTAAAGTTGTACTACAAAGTCGCCAGCTCCGCGTACTAAAGTTGTACTAGAAAGTCGCCAGTTCTCATCTTCCAGCTCCCCAGATACTCCGCGTAGTAAAGTTTTCTACAAAGGCGCCAGTTCTCAGCTTCCAGCTTCCCAGATTGCTCCGCGTACTACAGTTTTCTACAAAGTCGCCAGTTCTCAGCTTCGAGCTCCACAGATTGCTCTGCGTACTAAAGTTGTACTCCAGAGTCGCCAGTTCTCATCTTCCAGCTCCCCAGATGATGCCTGCTCAAGTTGTACTACAAAGTTGCCAGTTCTCAGCTTCCAGCTCCACAGATTGCTCCGCGTCCTTGCTGCGCCTGCCACGAAATCTGCACATGGAGGTTCACAAAGTGCTGCGCCTGCCTCGAAATCTGCACATGGAGGTTCACAAAGTGCTGCGCGTGACAGCAAAATCTGCACATGGAGGTTCACAAAGCGCATGGAGGTTCACAAAGCGCTGCGCCGCCACGAAATCTGCACCTCAAGGTTCACAAAGCGCTGCGCCTGCCACGAAATCTGCTCCTCGAGGTTCACACGGCGCTGCGCCTGCCACGAAATCTGCTCCTCGAGGTTCACACGGCGCTGTGCCTGCCACGAAATCTGCGCATGGAGGTTCACAAAGTGCTGCGCCTGCCGTAAAATCTGCACATGAGGTTCACAAAGCGCTGTGCCTGCCACGAAATCTGCACCTCCAGGTTCACATAGTGCTGTGCCTGCCACATGGAGGTTCACACAGCGCTGTGCCTGCCACGAAATCTGCGCATGGAGGTTCACAAAGTGCTGTGCCTGCCACGAAATCTGCACTTCAAGAAAAAAGTGAAAACTCTAATCGCAATGGAGGGACGATTCCGACCATGATCCGAGCATGAGCCGACCATGACCCGAGACCGTCTCGCACACGTCGTTCTACAAAGCTTGACTTGCCAGTTTCGGAGCCACCCTTTCTATTGAAAAACACATCATTTCGCGCGTCCGCTATCTCTCGAAAACGCATTTTGTATTGCGCCTGCCGCGAAATCTGCGCATGGAGGTTCACAAAGCGCTGCGCCTGCCACGAAATCGGCACATGGAGGTTCACAAAGTGCTGTGCCTGCCACGAAATCTGCACATGGAGGTTCACAAAGCGCTGTGCCTAAAACTAGAGCTAACTGGATGATGAGTGGTGTATGGTGAGTGGTGTCTGATGAGTGGTGTATGATGAGTGGTGTATGATGAGTGGTGTATGATGAGTGGTGTATGATGAGTGATGTATGGTGAGTGGTGTATGATGAGTGATGTAAATGTTCGTAACACGGAAGTTCCTCTAAACTTCCTTTGACAATTCTATTGAACTGACTTTTCAATCGCGCCTTCTGGAAGCGCTTGCGATGCAAACGGTCGAAACACTTGCGCCACTTGCCTGCCGCAATCACAATGACCCATGTTGTGATTGGCTTGTCCTAATCGCCTAATCTCACTGGGGTCGCTTGCGCGTGCACTGTGAGACGACCAATAAATTTGCTTCTAAAAGGCCCAATACTTAGATGGGCCGGTGTGTTGTTAAATAGTTAACATAGTTATCTTAAAATTAACAAAGTTATTAACTAGTTATGTTAAAATTATGTGAAAATTACTAACTTGTTATAACTGTTAAAAATGTTGTTTTTTGGTATAAAAGTAATTCAACATATATAGATTTTTTTACGAAAAATGCTGGTGAAAACAAAAAAGAACAGGTAGAGCAAAAAAGGCTAATGTGTTTTGCAATGGCTTTGCCAAGCCTAAAAGGCTAATGTCTTTGGCTTGGCCATGTTCATGGACACTGGTTTCCAAAACATATGTGCAATGTACATGGAGCTTTTTTCCCTGAAGCTCCAAGGAGTCAAAGTAGTGACCTTGTTGGTGCCTTTGGCAAAGGTCACTGCAATCCAGAGTTGTGCCAAGGGCACAACTTCCAAATTATCATCATCCTGCCATTCGGCAAAAGTCTCACACATCTTCTCCAAAGTGAAGCAGTTAATGACGCAGACATCATTTGTTGCATTGCTTAGAAAGGCAAGGATCTCCCCAGCATCAAATCGGTTTCCAGATTTGCTGGACAAGTAAACAATATCACCTCTGGAGCAAGACCCATACTTAATCCTGGCATGGTTGCTGGCTTGTATGTCATGCAGCTGTGAAAAAACTTGAGAAGCAAGAGGCAGCAATTTTTTTCTCAACTTCTTGCTTTGCAAAAGAGCTGGGCCAAATGCAAAGGCTTCAGGGTCAGCAACCCTTTCCATTTCAAGAGATTTCTGAGTATGAGGAATGTTCAAAAGCCTGCAAATTTTGAATGGTGGTCGCCACCCTTGCAGGCACCTTGTTCTTCCTCTCCATTGCAAAGCAACTGGGGATGCAATGGTGGTATTGCATCATTTGGTGCAAATGTAAAAGCCAATGGTGTTTCTTTATGAAAGGCCACTTCAGGTCTTTCCATAACTGGAGAATTCTCTCTGCTGTCAGCAAGAGCTGCTTGGGCTCAACAATGCCATGCCATGTGCTTTGAAGCAAATCAAGCACTTCACAAGTGGCCAGGAAAACTGCAACTTCCTGTTGGCACACATTGGCTGGGATGCACACCACTCTTACATAGTGTGCAAGAATGCTGACCAGTGTCAGCAACTCACTAGCTGTGGCATTGATCTTTTTGTGCTTTTTGTGTTTAGCTATTCTTTTCTCATCAAACAAAGGTGCCAGCCTGATGTTGCCCAAATGGCTTGGCAATTGAAACAGCTGCACATAGCTCTTGAGCAGGTCCCATTGCTTGATCTCTTGGCAGAGATTGTAGCAAGCAAGATTCATCACCCCAGAAGAGAGAAGGCAATGCATCCAATCCCAGCAGTTTTGCTGAGTTGGCCTCAAGACAGATCTCAATTCAACATTTCCCAGAAGTGCAAATTTGGAATAGCTAATTCCACTTGCCTGCTCCCATAATCGAAACTCCTTATCTGAAATCTTTGAAAACCTCTCAGACATCCTATCCCAACTGTGGAAGATCTCATTCTCAGAAGCCAGGTGCAGCTCATTGAACTTACAAAACCTGGATACTTCAGATAAATTGACATCAACATCCTCATCTTCATCATTGTCAGCAGCCATTTGGAAAATATTGGCACATTGTTGACAGAAGCGGCTGCCTGAGTCCCCGTTTCTGCTCCAACAGAATTTGGCAGCTTGGCCATCCATGATCATGAACCCAAGTTGTAGGCAAAGCCTGCCTGGTGCAAGACTGCCTTCAGGTTCTTGCAATTGTAAGCCCAGGTCAAGAACATTGCAGAAGGGGTTGTTGAAGATTGAAAGCAGCAATGCAGAAAAGACCTGGCTCAGGTGGCCATCCAAAGAAGAAACTATGTCACTTCTGATCAGCCCAACAGTGATCCATGCAGCTTCATGCTGCAGGGCCAAGCCAAACTGTTTGATTGAAGTGTATATTGCCCATAGTTTCCTTGTGGGCACATTGGCAAGAACATTGCCAGGAGTCACCTCGTCGCTGTAGAAAACAAGACTGAGGGGGCCATGATGGGTAGCCATGGTTTGCTTGAGCAAACCATGCCACCCTCCTCCTGCTTTGTAGGCTCCATGCAGCCAAGAGAGGAGATTGACTAAAGTCACACACTTTCTGCTACCACCCTTGCAAACAAGTTCATGCTCCAACAGCAAAGGACCATACCCAGACCATTGGCTCAAGCCAGCCCTGGTCCCCTCTCTCATTTGCTTTGATTTGGCAATTCTGGACAGCCTTCATCTTTGACGTGCTTCAGAATTGCTTGCAATGATGCTTTGGTTGCGTGAGGAATACTTTTCCTCAATTTGGTCAGCTTGGCCAGCTTAGTTGGCCTATCATCCATGGCTTTGCTTTGGCGTGGCCAATCATGTGCAATGTAAAAACTTTGTGTTGCCTGACAGCAGACTGGATGTGATGCAGAGCTTGTTCTTAAGAGCACAGTTGGGTTGCTGTGTATGCAACCTTCAAAGCACATGTGTGATTGCAAAGTTGATCTTACTGGACATAGGTGGACAAGCTTTGTTTCATATCTTGGCCTCTTTTGTTTTGCATGCCTTCTTGGGCCAGAGGAAGGGTATATATGCTTGTCAAAATGCAACTGCAAAGAAGTGGAATGCTATCCAAAAATTGTATTTCAGCTTGCTATTAGATTTGAAGAAACATAAGAGAAACAACCAATGTTTCAGCTGTTGAGCCAAAAAGGCTAATGTCATTTTACAATCCACACATGGCTGATGCGCTTACAAGTGTGTTTGGTATGAAAAGCCTAAAAGGCTAAGTGTGTTTGGTATGAAAAGCCTAAAAGGCTAATGGCTTCCAGACAAGTCACTTCACACCAAAGCACATGTGAAACCACAAACTGACAGTGTGGACACATATGCTTGCCAACACTGCAACACCTAAACATCAGCACTGTTCACATGTTTTTCACCCTGCTGGAAGAGCTGGGTTTGTCCAAGCTGGTGGCTCATCAAAGCTTGGCCCTTGGTGAAAAGAAGGCTAGCTCATCAATCATCAGCCTTTGCTGACAAGCACCGAACATAGCCATTCCTTCCCTCACTGCATAGGCCCTGAACAATTTCCTCAGCACTGGGTCATTGTTGACCAGGGCAGCAAAGGCCAGTGCATCCTCAGTGCAACCAAACCTATTTTAGTGCTGTTGCCATAGTCAATTGCACAGAAGCACATTGATAAATCAAGCTGAAATGTCCATAACCCAACGAGATGAAGCAGCCAAGACACCTGGCGCAAGGTCTCCAGCAGGTTCCACTTCTCAGGTGTCTTCAGGCTGTCATAGACCATCTCTGATCTGCCATACTCTTTGAAGATGATCCTCAGTGCTTCAGTGTCATCCAGCCTCTGCAGCAAACTTGACCTGGGCAAGCTTGCGCTCACAGGCCATGAACCTGACCTGGTTTTCAGCCATGGTGCTTTCACTATGCTGTAAACAGCTAGCCACCCTTCTTTGAACCACACAGCACTCAGATATAGGACATCGACTTGCCTGTAAGCAAGGGCTGCAATCATCATGTGCAATGCAACAGTGAGTTTGATGGCAAGTTTGCAAATGTTAAAAACAAAGCACAAGCCTATACTGGCATGCTAATGTGTTAAACAAACATGTGAGCCTAAAAGGCTAATGTGATTTGACAAAACTAGCCTAAAGGGCTAAATGGATTTGATAAAATGAGCCTAAAAGGCTAAGGTGATTTAACAAATTGAGCCTAAAAGGCTATTTCTCTTGGAAAAGCATTATGTTTACAAAGCTTCTTAGGCTTTTGTGAGTTTCAAACATGGACACCTTTTTCATTCTTCCCATTCAATCTTACACCAGCAAAGCCTTCTCAAAGTCACAGCTGGAACATCCTCCAACTGCACCTCTGCACCTGGTGCACCCCCAGCAAGTCTTCTTTGGCTTGGCCTTTGGAGTACTGTTGCAAGCTGCTGGCCTTTTCATTGGTAGCTTGTCTTCTTCTTTTGCTTTGCTCTTGCAAGCATTCTGTTTGCAATCTCCCTTTCCTTCTGTTGTGTTGTTCTTTGACTTCTTGCCTTTTCCTTTCCCTTTTCCTTTGTTCTTGCCTTTGCCACCAGACTGC